CTTAACACAAAATTCCTTGACCATAAAGACTTGTAATTGAGTCTTAATCTCCTTTAATCTCACAGTTGACTTAGGGTTGACTAGATGAAAACCCTAATTGCACCAACTTCAACTGTGGCCATTAGCACTTGGTGTAAATACTTGAAGGAACTCCACAATGACCCTCAAGGCCTCCAATGAGCTTAAATGATCATTTATTTTCATAACCATGGGCTTGTGATCCTCTGATGGTCTTCAAATGGCCTCTTAGACAAGAGGTAAACCACATACGCTTATCTGCTTATCCAAAGGGCTTTGCCTTGTCTCTGATGATGATAACCTTCTTGTTGACTTGAATAAAACCTCTTGATTAGGTTTAGAACCACTGGCACATCCCTCTTGTTGCACACACATATCTTGATCCCTTGTAAAAATGCAAAATGTTATGCAATGCAATATGCTAGAACAAATGAAACATAAACCAAGTAAAGAAAAGGTTGGGCAAATTTTGGGGTACAACATAGAGTGTCTAGGTAGAAGTGCCATTGGGTAGGTTTTAAGTGAGGAGTGCAAACTGGATTGTTTGACTCTGAATTGATACTGCTAATAGTGAATTTCCTCCCTGGCTTGGTAGCCCTCAGATGTAAGTGTTGTTGACACTGAACTGGGTGAACAATTACTGTGTTATTTACAGCTTTTCTTTACAGCATTTTAATTACTCCAATAGTCTGTGTTATAGTGGATGTTATAACATCCGTGATAACATCCATCGTGTGCTTGCCAGAATTTCACTTTTGTTTGATCACATAGATCCAGAGCTTTCAACAGTACTCATTGACAAATGAGACAAAATGCTTGTTTCCACCAATGATATGCTCTTTAAAAGGACCACGTACATCTGAATATACAACTTTGAGTATGTAGGATGATCTCATCAACATAGTTGAAACGAAAGACTTCCCGGACTGCTTTCCAACTAGAGAACCTTCACAAAGTTTGTCAGGCGTCTCAAGACTTGGTATACCGGTTACCATATCTTGACTGATCAGTTGATTGAGCGACCTAAAATTTAGATGACCAAACCTCATATGCCACAACTAATTATTCTTGTGGTCGACATTCCTCAGCCAAACTAATCATGTTCTTAAATTTCATATTCTTCGACAAAGGAGATTTCAAGAATAAGTTATTCTTGATGTCGAAAAGTTCTAAGGCTCCATCTTTCATAACCACTGAGAACTCCTTTTTGACCAGTTGTCATACACTTAGCAGATTGCACTTCATTCTGGAGACATATAGTACATCTTTGATCAAGGCTTTTGCTCTATTACTCCTTTGAATAACTATGTTTCCAGTACCTTTTGCTTGAACGAGCTATTATCAGCAAGTTTGACCTTGCTCTTCTTCGACTCGTTGAAATCTACTAACCATACTTTTCGACTAGTCATGTGATTCGAACAGCCTGAGTCAAGGAACCAGATCTTGGATTCGACATGGCCATCTGCTTCTGCAACCATAACCATCATATCATCTGAATTATCTGAATCTTGATATTCAAGGTTCGCTCCTTTGTCCTTGCCTTTTGTCGATCTATTGTATTTCTTGTACCAACCATGTTTGGCCAAGTAACCCTATTTTTCACAGTTATAACACTACACACCTTTTTTCTCTACTTTGTCATTTTGATAGGAATTTCATTCTCCTCTTTTTGAGGATTCAAACTATCATCGATCTTATTCTTGTGAGGGTTCGACCAAGACTTCTTGCCCTGAGTCTTTTTGATTTTGCCTTTCAACTTGTTGGAAGCTCCATTCTTCTTCCACGGCTGAGCCTGTAGTGCCTGTACCGAGTCTTGAACTTCTTTCCTTTTGACAATCCTAATCTCGCGCGCCTCGAACGAACCAACCAAATCTTCCTGTTTTAGGGTTTCAAGATTGTTGGATTCTTGAATAGCTACGATAATGTGATCAAAGTGAGAGGTAAATGTACATATTACCTTCTCAACTATCATCTTATTAATTAGGGTTTCACCACAACCCTTCATGAGATGGACGGGTTTCTACACCTTCGACACATAGCATATAATCATTTCGTCTTCTCTCATTGAAAATAATTCATATTGTCGTCGTAAAGTTTGCAACTTGACAACCTTAACTTTCTCTCTTCCTTCATAGTACTTGACAAGAATATATCATGCCTCCTTCACCGATTCAGCATGAGTGATTATGTCTAAATTAGTCGCATCAATTGTCGATAGAATATAAAACGCTGCCTTGCAATCCTTCTTCTTGTCCTCCTTGTGAACGGTTCTCTGTGCGTTAGTTGCATCTTCACCAAGCGCAGGAACACTATTAGTAACCACTTCTAGGATTTCATGAAAAGCAAATAGAGATTGCATTTGTTTTCTCCATCGAAGTCAATTCTTGCCGTCAAGAGTTGGAAGAGAGTTTGGTAAATTTTTGTTACCATTCATCTTTGAAGCAATTGATCAACAACAATCCACAATCTCAGAAATATGATCTCTAATGTGTGATTCTTAAAAACACGATCAAGAATATAACTGGAGTTATAATACCAATTTGTTAGTGCGTAAATCACTTTTAGTGAGGAGAGAAAGAGAGAAAATAAAAAAATAATGATTGATATTATTGAATGAATAAAACTGAATTACAAAATATCTATTTATATACACCTAATTGACTTAACTATTAAGTAAAATAACAAACTCTAAACTTTAATTAGCTTTGAACGTGATATATCTCAATAATTTTAAAGCCTGTTTATATTGATCATCATCATTTAAACTACGGTTTATCTTTATATTTACTAAAATTTGTCTTCACTTTAATGGTTAATAAGTTAAATAAACTTTGAGACGATGCTTCTAGCAAGTTTCAAGTCCAATGCCTTAGGTGCAAATATTCTTTGAATTGGACCAATTCATGTGAGATTGGTCCCCATATTAGTCCCACTACAAGAAACATTACATTTTTCCAAGTGATTTTCATGTCACTAACTCAAAAACCACTTCACTAACCAATTTTTGCGACGTGGGTAAAACACGCCGGAAATGCAATGGTGGGAACATGTTCCCACGTGGAAACCACGTCACAAAGTTGTGACATAGTTCCCACGTCGCAAATAACAGAATTAGGAGAAAATCTTCCCACGTGAAAACCAAGTCACTAATTAGTGACGTGATATTCATGTGGGAAACTACCTTTACCAATTTTGTCTGCACGTCTGCCTAACACCAATTAAATTTGGTTCTCATGTGATTCCCACGTCACTAATTTGTGACTTGGTTTTCACGTGGGAACCCAATGGCTTTGCGGCACTAATTAAATTGGTTCCCATGTGATTTTTACGTCACTAATTAGTGACGTGATATACATGGCACAACAAAAATATGTTTTATATTAGTGACATTGTTTGCACTTCACTATAAAATTTAATAATAAAAAAATAAAAATAAATATTAACGAAAAACAGCTATAAAATTAAAATAAATATTAAATATTAACTATAAATATTTTGTTTATATATAAATATTCTATTTTTAAAAATTAAAAATATATTACATATTTAATTTGTTTCTAATAAATATTCTGTTTATATATATTACTATATTTTTAATTCAAAATATATATTTTCTAAAAATATATATTTTATTAAAAATTATTTTTATTTTTTTCTTTCAACAACAACAACACAATAAACAAAAATAATATTTATAAAATATCAACAAAAAAATATCAACAACAACAGAAATATAAATATTCTAAAATTTTATAATATATCAACAAGATAATATAACAACAACACAACACAATAATATATCAACAAAAAATCTAAAATTTTCTTCTAAAATTATATTTCATATATAAACGGTAAAATTTTCACAAAAACAACATATAGACCAATCACCTTAAATTTTTTGTGAAATTTTCTAGGAAAATTTTGTAAATTAATATATAGGGAGACTTGTGACGTGGTGAACACGTGGGAAGGTAGCCACGTGATTCCCACGTCGGAACCAACAATCATTTATTCCCAAGTCGGAACATTCCCCAATTTAAAGCATTTGCGACGTATGTTTCCTGTAGGAAGTTTGACAAGTGATTCCCAAATCGGAACATTTCCCAATTTAAAATGTATATGTTGCTCACACACAATTAAAGGCAACGCTAAAAATGCAATTATGTTTTGTTTGTTGCAACGTGTAATCCTGTTACAAATCTGACCCATTCAATTCCAACCTTCAATGTGTCTGAAAAGTTAATGAAAAAGGTGAGAGATTTTTTATTTATAGTTTTGCGACGTGCTTTGCATGTGGGAAACTTGTGAAATGTTACACACGTGGGAAATAAAGAGATTTTTTTGAATTTTCAGTTCCCATGTTTACACGCCACAACTGAATTTTTTAAAATTTCAAACTTCCCTCTCTCTTAAAATTTCAATTTTTGGTCGAAGATTTTAAGTCTCTTAAAATTTCAATTTTTGGTCGAAGATTTTAAGTCTGAATAATTTATTATTTAAATGGTTTAGTGACGTGGGAATCACTTGGCAACCTGTTTTTTTCTCACGTGATTAGCACGTCACTAAATCACTTGACAAAATGGACTATTTCTCTCACGTGATTAGCACGTCACTAAATCACTTGACAAAATGGACTATTTCTTATAGTGTCCATCTCATTGATTTGATGCCAAATTTAAAATTAAAAAAAATAAAAAAAAAATAAAAAAAGTGTTTGACTGTTTGGTTTGAAAAGATGCGGGACTTAAAGTTGAACCGGTTGATGGTATACTCTAAAAGAAAAAGAAAATTGTGTGCCATGACGAGCATGACACTCACACACGATGCCAGTAACATTTTTAACAAATTGAATCACAAATATTGGTGCTACAATCATTTTTCAATAGTAGGCAAAACTACTAACAAACCTTATAAATAAAAATTTGATAAGATTTGATAAACGATGAAGAAAAGATACATATACAGTTCCTACAATAGTTACATCAGAAAGAGGAGAAAAATACACTACCACCTCGTCTCTGTATACGATTATGAACAGAGAAGAAGCATAGCACAAACGTCATGGTGACGGAAACCGCAGCAGATGTAACAGCATCGAAAGTGTAAGAGCATCGCCTTTCTTGAAGACCCCAAAGCGTTTTGACGAAGTGACTAACACCATCCACCACCGTTGCTAAAACATGTGGCATCATCGTTCAACAACAATAAGTGTCTGTTGAGAATTGTAACGAGGAATGTAAGGAATAATAATAAGGGGAATTGTTTCTAGGTCAAGTTTTTGGAACTTGCATCGGATATAGAGAGAGACCGTTGTTTCCGCGATGCTTCCTGGTTTTATCTTAGGTATTTAATATTGTGGTTTTTGTAACTTACGGGAGCAGTTATTGCCCGTAGAGATTAATGTACGTGTGTCTACGTGTCTAGGGGGATGCCGGGTGGAAAAGACAGAGTACATTTTGTTTTAAAATTTGGGAAGGTTTGATTTAAAATTAACTCCGAAGTAAAATTGATTTGTACTTGAAAATAATATGTTAAGATTCCTCTAAAACAATAGATAAAGTATTAGTAATAAAAAAAAAACTACTCTCCGCTAACATTGTTAGACCAACTCTAATGGGGTTATTAAATTGGGTTTGTCAACATGACACTCATATTTGTTGTTTTTAAGATTGTCATGTTGTTCAACGCTTCTTAATTAAGCAACGGTTCTTATATTAAAATATTAATTTTATAATATAAAAATTATAATTTAATATAAAATTTTATTTATCATTTTAATTATCATATGAAAACTATAATTACAATATTAAAATATTGATTTTATAATATAAAAACTATATTTTAATTATAAGTTTAAATTATATGTTTAATTTGAATTTTTTTTTATTTATTTTAAGTTTTAATTTTAATTTTAATTTTAATTTTTTTTTATATCAAATTTAATTTAAAACACTAAAATTAATTAAGGAGAGATTGAAATATTTTTTTAAGTTTAATCTAATTGTTTTTAAGTTTATATAGTAGAATGAAATATTTTTCCTTAAAACAACACTATATACCGGTTGGACTATATAGTAGACTGGAATAATTTTCTGTAAAAAAATTAAAATTATTATTTTAAGTGATATAAAATTTAATATGAATAAAATATTAATATATAAAGTAAACTTGTGGGACCCAATATAAGTTCTTCAGAATTGCACCATTGGAGTGAAAAATTAGTTGAGTTGCTTCAAGCTGACGTGGCTTAATAGGTCCCACAAAAAACCCAAAAATGAGTTCACTTTTGGAGATGCTCTTAGACATCTAACTTTCGAATATATTATTAAAGAGAAGACTATCAAGATTTTGAAAGAAGTCTAAATAACACAAGAATGAAAATTATTAAAAAACAATCTAATATCAGTGAGTTAATATGCATACATTTCTATTATCCTCTCGTCAAATATAATTGAAGATTATCTCATCTGTACATGCAAGATACACTAAGTGATAACTCTATTAAAGAGTTAGTAAGAGACGTATTTATTTTTCCAAGTGAAAGTACGAGTGACTTATTCTTTTGATGTTCCTCTCCTTATACATGGATTTTGACCCATCTTGCGGGAAGATCCATATGAGAATATTTAATATGATTGATTATGTCCTTAGTGATGATTATGAATCCAACTTGATTTTCCATATTTTGGCATTTAATATCAGTGACACCTGCAATCAATCATAAAAGCTCCTATAAACATGGATGGATCGAAGATTGACTCATACTCAAAATTGAATTAGTACATTCAAATCAAACCAATATAACATCTAAAACATTTGTCATGTCGGGTCACTTATCTAAGTGGACGAACTTTCGTCGCACTTGAGTTTAAAACTTGACACAATATTTGGGTCTAGCCCAAATTAAATATTTAGGATGTACACAATCCCTCAAAACATGAGGTTTGTAGGGGTGAGATGCTCAAGGTAAAGGTCTTGATCATATCTTTAAGAATTAGAAATATACACAATCCTTTAAGCATGAGGCTTGTCAAGTCGAACTGCTTAAGGTAGGGGTCTTAAATATACAAGTTCTAAGAGATTATGGATTCAACACTCTAAAGTAAGTGATTTTGCATTCATCTTAATGTTCTTCATCATCATATCAATCATAACTTTGGAACCACTTTCCACATGTAGTGTGAACCACAAGCTCAAAGGCTTATATACTCAAATACATTTCCAAACTCACATCCCGCATGAAGACCATTACATGTTTCAATTTTGCGCAAAAACTTGTTAACCATTTGCTATTAGAAGTCGACAACACATTTGACAAGATTCAAAGATTACTTATATACTTCATCACACTTCAACATAGTCCATCCTCTTAAGACCTTTTCTAACGATCCACGTCTTTAACCATTGGGTCATGTGGGACCCATAAGTGTCGGTGTGTAATCATCTTTATGTTGGATACCACAAAATCTTTGGTTGATATTTCTAAACATCAAATTTTTGTAATTTAAAGCATAGTCACACGGATCGCAATTCGTTTTAGTAGGTGGAAGGAATTCGGATATGCAGTATGCAACTCTAAAAGAATTAGATATGTGAAAGGTATACATAATATAATTGTAAATAAAGGACAATGCATCATTTCTTTGCAAAATACTAAGTGTGAGTCAATTTCATAAAAGAAAATACTATTAAGACCACTAAAAGAAGTCTCAATAACACGAGTATGAAAATCATTAAAAAAAACTAATATTAGGGAGTCAATATGCACACATTCCTATTGTACTTTCATCAAATATAATTGAAGATTATCTCATATGTACATGCAAGATACACTAAATGATAACCTTATCAATAAAGAGTCACTAAGAGCCGCATTTATTTTTCCAAGTGAAAGTGTGACTGAGTTATACTTTTGATGCTCCTTTTCGTTATATAGCGATTTCGACCCATCTTATGGGAAGACCCAAATAAAAGTATTTAATGTGGTTGATTATGTCTATAATGATGATTATGAATCTGAATTAATTTCCCATATTCTAGCATCTGATATAAGCGACACTTGCAATCAATCATAACAATCTCATCTAATCATGGATGGATCTAAGATTGGCCCATACTCAAAATTGAATTAGTACAGCCAAACCAAGCCAATATAACATCCAAAACATTTGCGCCATGTCGGTCGCTTATCTAAGTGAACGATGTCGAGAATAATAAGTGTGAGTTGGAAACTTTGAGAAACAAAGTGTAGGAAAGTCCCACATTGATTAGCAAATTGGAGACTTTAGCATTTATAAGTAAGAGAATCCACACACTTATCACCTTAAGGTTTTTGGGTGAGTATGTGGTCCGTTGCTCATAAAACGAGGACCTCAATATAAAAATGCTCTCTCATGTTGACTTCCCGAATTGTTAACCTAACATGCGAGCTCTCGTCGCGCCCGAGTTCAGAACCTGACACAATATTTGAAGGTGTTAGATCTATCTCAAAGTAAATATTCATATACACAGTCCCTCAAGCATGACGTTTGTAGGGGAGATATGCTTAAGATAGAGAGATCTTAATCATATCTTTAATAATCTAAAATGTACACAATTCTTCAAGCATGAGACCCGTCAAGTTGAAATGCTTAAGGTAGGGATATTGAATGTACAAGTTCTAAGAGATTATGGATTCAACACTCTAATGTAAGTGATTTAGCATTGATCTTAATTCTCATCATCACCATCCCAATCATAATCTTGGAACCACTTTCCTTATGTAGTGTGAATCATAGGCTTAAAGCCTGATACAAACTCAAATACATTTCCAAACATACACTTTACGTGAAGAGCATCACATGTTTCAATTTTATGCAAAAAATTGTTAACCATTTGCTATTAGAATTCTATAAGAAGCCATCACATTTAACAAGTCTAAAGATCATTTATATGCTCCATCACACTTCAACTTAGTCCATCCTCTTGAGACCTTTTCTAGCCAATAAAAATGTTGTCTCATTGTCGAAAAAGCAAAGTGTGATGAATATAAAAATCCACGACTTTAACCATTGGGTCAGGTGGGATCCACAAGTCCCAATGTGGAATTATATTTATACTGGATACCATAAAGTCTTTTGCTAAAATTTCTAAACATTCAATTTTTGTAATTAAAAGCATAGTTACACGGATCACAATTTGTTTCAGTACATGGTACAAATTCAGGCGTAGGATATATAACTCTCAAAGAATTAGGTATGTGAAGGGTATACATAGTATACTATAAATAATGAAAGTGCATCATTTCTTTGCATAATACTAAGTGTAAGTTAATTACATTCATGTTATGCATTTAATTAAGAAACTATCATCATTATATAGATCTTATAGTATATGATTCTCACATTCATAAATACATTAAAATGTGTACCTTGTTTCATAATGATGATTAAAGACCAGCGTAATTTATCAAACCCAATCTATCCCTTTCGGTTTCCTAATTTCTAAAACCTTTTCTTGATGGTTATTTGGTAGAGAAACTATTATGAAAATAATATAATCACAGGTTTAATTATCGTGTTTGGCTCACATCAAGACATTATTATTTATAGATGTTATTCATATCCGTTCACAATAGCATATTGTCTTAATAGATGCTATTAATACTCATTCACATTAACACCTTTTATTAATAGATATTCATACTTATTCACATTAATACATTTTCACTTTATTTGAATAACACATTTTATTAATAGATATTCATACTCATTCACATTAATACATTCTCACTTTATTTGAAAAATCAAAGATTAAATTTTGGAAAAGTTTGATTTAAAATTAAGTCCCAACTCCCAAGTAAAATTAATTTGTACTTGAAAATGATGTTGTAAATATTCCTCTAAAATAATAAAAAATATTAGTAATAAAAAAAACATCCAACTAACATTAATTCTTGGGCATCTAAACTTTGAATACATTATTAAAGAGAAAACTATCATGATCATTAAAATAAGTCTAAATAACACGAGTATGAAAATCATTTTTAAAAACACCTAATATTAGTGAGTCAATTTGCACACATTCTTATTGTCCTTGCCAGATATAAATGAAGATTATCTCATCTGTACACATAAGATACACTAAGTGATAACTCTTTCAAAGAAGAGTCAGTGCTAGTAAGAGCCGCAATTATTTTTCCAAGTGAAAGTGT